AAAAAAGCGGAGTGCAGCGTCCCGACCGAAGATCAATCGGGACGCGGGACAAATACCTAAATATCGGGACGGTCCCGATTTTATCGGGACGTCTGGTCACCCTACTGAGCTGTGGCAGGAGGTTGGGGTGTGGGAGGGGGTGCGGGCTCTAACTGGGGGTGCAGGCTCCAGGGTGGGGCCAGAAATGACAGGTTTAGGGTGTGGGAGGGGGCTCCAGGCTGGGGCAGGGAGTTGGGGTGCAGGAGGGAGTGAGGGTTCTGACTGGGGTGGGGCTGGGGATGAGAGGTTTGGAGTGTAGGAGGGGGCTCCAGGCTAGGGGGTGGGGCCGAGGGATTCAGCATGCAGGAGGGGGCTGCAGCTTGACGCAAGGGGTTGGGGTGCAGAGGGCATGAGGGCTCCAACTGGCAGTGCAGGAGCTGGGGTGGGGCCAGGGATGAGGGGTTTGGGGTGCAGGAGGGGGCTCTGGATTTGTGGGCAGTGCTCAGGGCTGGGGCAGGGGGTTGGGGCTTGGGGCACAGGTTTACCTCGGGTGGCTCCCAGTCAGTGGTGCAGCGGGTCTAAGGCAGGCTGTCAGATTTGCCCCATCTCAAAAAAAGATATATTGGAAATGGAAAAGGTACAAAAAAGGGCAAGAAAAATGATTAGGGGTATGGAACGACTTCCATATAAAAGGAGAGATTAATAAGACTGGGACTTTTCAGCTTGGAAAAGAGATGACTAAGGGGGGATATGATAGAGGTCTATAAAATCATGACTGATGTGGAGAAAGTAAATAAGGAAGTGTTATTTAATCCTTCTCATAACACAAGAACTAGGGGTCACCAAATGAAATTAATAGGCAGCAGGTTTAAAACCAACAAAAGGAAGTATTTCTTCACACAACGCACAGTCAACCTGTGGAATTCCTTGCCAGAGGATGTTGTGAAGGCCAAGACTATAACAGGGTTTAAAAAAATAACTAGATAAATTCATGAATGGCTATTAGTCAGGATGAGCAGGGATGCAAAACCATGCTCTGAAGTGTCCCTAGCCTCTGTTTGCCAGAAGCTGGGAACGGGCAACAGGATGGATCATTTGATGATTACCTGTTCTGTTCAGTCCCTCTGAAGCACTGGGTATTGGCCCCCGTCAGAAGACAGGATACTGGACTAGATGGACCATTGGTCTGACCCAGTATGGCCGTTTTTATGTTCTGATTGCTCATAATCTTAATCAGTTACTACTGTGCTAACTAAGTGCATGTGTCATTTAAATTGACCCACAGAACAGTTATTACAGACAATGGTGCATGAGGACAAAAGCCCAGCTTAACTCTTTGATCCTGGCATTAGTTTGCAGGGTGAGTAGAAGAAAACCTCTGCTTGCAAGGTGAGCACATTTACTATGGTGTCTCAGAGAGATGAATCCCCCTTGATGGAATTTAGACAGTCTCTCTTTTCAGAGTCAAATGCACTTTGAAGACAATAGTTCCTGCAGTTTGGTTCATTTGATGCAAATTAGTTGCTTTCTGCTGGCTCTGCTCGTGTCTCCTGTAGCTTTGTTTAAAGTTGCCCGTGGAAAATGTAAAGTTCCCAAACTGCTGTCTGCTGGCTTATTACAACCCCTTCCATGCAGGCTGTGCATGGAGCATCTTCCCCATGTCTCCATCAGACGCATCTAAATACTGACGTTCCATCTTCAGTCTGTAAGCTGCGATAATCGCAGTGAAATTGTTCATACTGAGCTTCGCTGACCCATAAATGTTATTTGTTCCGATCCCAAACAGATTGGAATTTCTATAGAAGGAGATATAGGGCCTCCTAAACAAACACACCAATGTCAGGCTTCATTACATTCAGTAATGGCTGTCTCAAAGCGGCAGTGCCTGACAAATCTGCTCCGTTGTGCACTTGGCAAACAAGCCCAATGAGTGTTCACCAGCCCAGAAACGAGTGACGTTAGCTTTGACTTTCAGTAGAGGTTAAAATATTGGACCTGATTCTGATCACACTTGTACTGGCATGATCAAGTTTAGCACCTTTGAAATCAGTTGAGTTAGATGCAGTGTCTCGTTTTCATTGAGTTTCCCACTTAATTTTTAACATAAGAACAGTCATACTGGGTCAGACCAAAGGTCCACCTAGCCCAGTATCCTGTCTTCTGACAGTGGCCAATGCCAGGTGCCCCAGGGGGAATAAACAGAACAGGTAATCACCAACTGATCCATCCCGTCGCCCATTCCCAGCTTCTGGCAAACAGAGGCTAGGGCCACCATCCCTGCCCATCCTGTCTAATAGCCATTGATGGACCTAATTAATTTTTAATTAGGTTATTTTCTAGTTACCTTTAATAAGAAAGAAAAGCCAAGGCCTGGCCCCTATGAAGACTAAATCAAGACTAAGAAAGTATCTTTCTAAAAGATCTAAAAGTGATGGGTGTGATGCAGGAATCACTGGGTGAGGTTCTCTCTGACCTATGCTAGGAGGTCAGACCAAATGGTCACAATGGTCCCTTGGACCTTAAAATCTATGACTGGGACTCCTCCTTGCTACCACATTACAAATAATAAGCCTTCCTACTACTTGTAGTTGCTTATACTAGACAGCTGCCAGGTGAACCCTATCCATAAGGTGCCTCATATATACACAGAGGCCAGGTGAATTAGTCCACATTGTGGCCATTAACACCTGCCAAAATGCTTAGGACCTAGAACTGCCAACTTCCCAGATTGGAAGCTCTATGGGGCAGGGGCCATCTTTTTGTTCTGTGTTTGTACAGCACCTAGCACTATGGGCTCCTGGTCCAAGACTAGAGCTCCTAGGCACTACAGCGATACAATCATACTAGTATT